AGGAGCTCTTCACTGAAATTTTCACTGAAAGTGAAAAATTCGAAATTTTTGTCAAAGTATCAGGAGAACATGACAATCGAAGAGCTATTCACTGAACTTTTCACTGAAGGTGAAAAATTCGAAATTTTTGTAAAAGTATCAGGGGAACATGACAATCAAGGAGTTATTCACTGAAATTTTCACTGCGAGTGAAAAATTCGAAATTTTTGTAAAAGTATCAGGGGAACATGACGGTCGAGGAGCTATTCAGTTTTTAACCAATATTTCGATTTATTAGCCAGTTACAAAAGAAAAAATTGGAATTATTTAAAAAAAAAAATGAATGACGGCGGGATCGAACCCGGGCCGTCGGCGTGATAGTCAAGCACGTTACCGCTAGGATAACGCACCATTACAATAATTTAATTTCATTAGGAGTATATATTTTGCAAAAGTATTGTTTTAAAAAATTGTTAATTTGTCAATTTCACAGGATATCTTTCCGCTCTTCAAAAATTCAGTGTTTAAACGATATTTAGATTGATTAACCAATTAAAAAAAGATAAAATTGAAATTATTTAAAAAAAAATGATTGACGGCGGGATCGAACCCTGGCCGTCGGCGTGATAGGCAAGCACGTTACCATTAAGACAACGTGCTCATTCTGAAAATATAATTTCATTAGTGGTATATCTTCAATACATTGAATAATTTTTTCCATTGAAATTCCACAAGATGTGGTTTCCCCCTTCCGTACGTTCTACAGTCGGCTAAATTTCAGTTAAACAAATGAAAAACAAAAAGCATTCGTACAGCAGAAAATAAAATTCACCCCGTCGACTTGATGGACACCCCAGCATTGCGTGTTGCGTCCTCCCTCTCTTAGGGTGCAGTACTGCGATGCCGCTGGGGTTACTCGAACCCCCAGAACTGAGGCTCTACTTTAGTCAATCCTCTTTGACTGAGCGTCTATACTTTAGCGAATCCTCTCTGTATAGCTGTATGAACTGTACCATTGGAGGCAGATGAGTATTACATATGTACATGGGCAACCTAACCAAACTTGTACGGAGGTAGTGAGAGCGGAATTTTCGAAGCATCAGCTGTTGATCTGCCGGTGAGAGCTGGACGAGTAAGACCAGCAATTTGTGGTCAACTATCACTTAAAATGGCGAGTAACACATTATGGAAGACTCTGCGTATATTCAATTACAACAGATGCATTCCCTGCACTATAAGTCTCCCCTTAGTTAATAAACAAACAGTTACAGTGACACCAAAGTGGGTTAATCTCAGTGGGAATAGCTACTGTGACGTCGTGTCAGAGGAGCCTAAAAAGCCCAACAACAAGAGAAAAATTTTCATACCGAAGATAACGCTTCTTTCCGAGAATAACGAAATGACAGTGATGACTATTGAGGAGGCGGAAAAACTTGCAAGAAGACGTGATTTGAAATTGGTCAAGGTGGTCGACGTTGAAACGCGAGTGGATAGACCTGTCTATAGGCTCATGAAAATCCAGGATTTCTTGAAGGAGGAAGCCAAGACTAAGGCTGCTGCGAAGGATGCCAGGGAAAAGGCTATAAAGGAGGACAAGACGATAGCGATATCTGGAAAAATCGCTGATAATGATCTTCATACTAAGATCAAAAGCATACATAAAATGTTGAGGAAAAGGTACGGCGTACGAGTGGTAATTGCTGCTGATGGCAATGTGGAGAAAGCTGTGAGTTGATATGATTTTTTCCATCATGTTTGTTCCAGATATTTATTTTCAGTTCACTTACTGATACTAATAAATTACTTTATTGAACTTTAGAAAACTGTGAGGGATACTGTTATAGAGAGCTGCAAAGAAATTGCCAAAGTTGTAACGAAGAATGACTCTGCATTTAACGCTAAAGTTACTCTTCGTCCAATTCTTGATAAAATCAATCAGGATAAGAAAAAAGAGGATAATGATAGCGAAGAAGAGGATAGTCATTGATGTATTTGCTGTAATGAATTTATAAATCTCATTTGAACGCTGGAATCCACTTGTAAAGGAATCGTCTCTGTAAATAGTTGCCCATGATTAAATGTATCTGAGTTTAAGATTCAGCACAACTTGGAATGTAAAGTCGAAAGATTGCGAATCCGTAACATTCTGTATAAATAAAGTTTATTCTGATAAAAATTCTAGAGATTTAGTATTCAGAATTGCTTGCTTCTACTTCGTATGCCCCTACGACGATAACACCATTAAGCACGCATAATCAATATGAAATTATTAGAAAACAATTGCTCATTAATTTTGTATTTTTCTATAAATAATACGATATGTTTGTTACAAATACATCTCAATTATTTCATTTTACAAGAGAATTTGAGATAATGAGTATTTCAAGTACAATTACAATCGATAAATCCTCTGAAAAATTATATTTCATGGTTTACCGTTAAAAATACAAAAAGAATTGAAGGATTAGAGGAAAATGGAGTCATATTCATACATGAATTGGTACATTAATACTGGACCCTTCTTAATAATATCTTATCTTGAATTATCAATTCAGTAGAGAAGTGGTGAAATGTTACGAGTGTGACTATTTTCTTCATCTGAATTTGACAATTCACGAGAGAAAATCGACTCAATATTTTTTACCAATCTATTACTGAATTATTGTGATAGACGATGTGCGTGAATGAAATTTGAAATGTATGTAAATAAATAAATCCACTGGCTGATGATTCCATGATATTGACGGGGGGATTAACTGAATCAGTAATAACATGGCATTCTGGAACATCTACGAAATTCAACGAGCTTGGTGCAGGGTTTTCCAGTAGGTCCGTAGGGTTGTACTTTGACTCTTCTGGTTCGATGCTGAGTTGCATTCCCACAAGTTACATTGCAGGGAGACCAAGGAGACCAGTGGGATAACTCACAGTCTATTGATACTGAAACAATTCACGCAATAACATCTATGCTTAACGAATGAAAAAATAATCCTTCGTTATGCACTGATTTAATTGATCGAATTTACCTTCATCCATCTCCCACACTGATTTGTGGTCCCTGTACCGTCTCCGTCGGCTTCGATTTCGCGGTGCTGGCATAATAATCAAATCATTCAAATAAACGACCAATCAACAAATTGAATCATTATTAATAAACTTCACCAATTACTTACGACAGTTGAGAACACGATGGCACTTTTTCTTCCTCTCCAACTTGGTAGGACATCTCATCCCACCGTTGCGGGCCTTCACCTGCAATTGCAATTAAAATTGAAGTGACAAAGAAGGATGGATAAAGATAGACCTAGAAGTTTCGAGGGAAACGTACCAGAATGGTTCGTGTTTGCGTACTGTAGCCTCGACAATTTTCGCACTGTGTCCAAGGACTCCATTCCGTAAATTTACAATCGATTTTCTTTCCCCTGTATTCCTCTGTCGTTTGACTCCCGAGTTGAATTCCATTGAAAGTTTCGTCAATACCCTCTAGATATTATTTTGTACAATAAATTCATTTTTTTTCTTCGATATAGAATGCAGCGAAATAACTGCTTAAATACATGCATGAGAAAGTCTAATTTTTATGAAAAGTGTATGAAACTTCACCCTTTCTCTCCCGCTTAATCTTTCCACTTCTTTCCTTCTGAGCTGGGATGTGATAGCTCAGAACGCTGCTCAATGATACTTTGTAATTTCTTCGCATATTTTTCGTCCCCGACCTTGCATTAGTGCGATTAGTACCTTTGTTAGTAAAGCATGATATGTTGATTAATAATGAAATGATAGAATATATATGAATAGGCGGACTTTTTAATTATATTTTTCCATTCTCGAAATGTTTAATCAATTACTAAAATATATTTACCTCTGATATCAATGCAAACATGTTTGCACGTTTCGGGAGTATCAAAATTATTTCGTCGATTACTATTGCATCCAGTATAACGAAAGACCCGACATTGATTACTTCCAGGATCAAAATAGACACGCTGATCAGAATGACTGCCATCATCGGGATTACAATCCCCAATCGGAGGTGGTTCATTACATATTTCTATTTTGAATGAAAAAAAAAAATCACGAAAGGACGAATGAAAATAAAATATGGAATAGAATTAAATTATTTATCAACTCTTTGAATTACCTTCGGCATCTTCCTTTGTGATATCACAGCGGGTGATTTTTGCATCGCAACCAACACTCTGCTGAGTACATTCTAATGGTTCAGAGGAGCTGTCACCTATTCTCAATCGTGAACGCTGCTTTATTCCTCTTCCACATGTGGCCGAGCAAGGAGTCCACAATGACCACGGGTGATACTCCCCCGGACATTTTCTGACCTTCTAGGAAAAATAATATTTTAACAAAAATTTTATGAATTCCCTGCTGGAGAATGGAGGTAATGGAGTAGCGAAATGGTGAAACAAATCGTCATCGTGGATTTAAAGAGAGGAGAGCTTCTTTGTAGTTGAGGGCATTCCACAGAATTTATCACACGACAATAGTCGTCAATCAAGAGTATTCAAAAATGGATACTAAAATTTAGTTGCCACAAGAAAATAGAAATTCACATTTGAATAGCTTGAGAGTCTGACTACAGTTGGATATCCTCCAATCAAGAATGCTCTTGCCTCGTTAATGTCTCTCATCTGTTATCGATCCACCCACGGTTTTCCTTGAAGAGAAGTAAAGATGATCATTGTTTCTTTGATCCATAGCGATGAAAATGACGAGTGAATGGCACTGAGAAATGGTGCAGGCTTGAGTTCATCTTCAAATGCATTTGTTTAATTAATGGATGTGGAGCATATAATGTGGGAGACACGCAACTGTAAATCTGGACATTTTTCAGTACGCACGACAATCGACTTAGATGCGGTTAATTGATGCATCGAAATTGTTAAAAAAAATGAATTTTGTCTCTCATCTAATTTGATCCATCAGCAGTAGTCCCTCACCTGCAACCATTCCTCGGTTGCCTCCATGTCCTGATCCTCCTCCCCCTCGCCCTCCTCCACCACCTCATCCCCCTCCTCCTCCTCCTCCTCGTTATCCTGATTATCCTCGCCATCTTCATCCTCATTCCCGTCTTCGGTTTCATTTATATTTCGATTTTCATTTTCCTCCGTTTCCTCCTCTATTAAAGTACAATTTACTTTGATATTTATTTACAACGCCCCCCAACTCACCTTGCCCGATGTACCATTTTCCGAACAGGGTTGATTTTGACAATCGATTGTCTGCTCCAACTCCAGATCATTACTCGCTGCCCTACAACGTTTTCGCGCTCTTTTGTTGGCGAAATTTCGCGATCTTGTTTTAATTCCATCACCGCAAGTAGTAGTGCACTCGCTCCAGTCAGTCCAATCGGTCAATTCACACTCCGGGGTATTGAGAATGGTTGAGTCACCATTAAGACCATTGCTAAATGTCAAAACATTTAATCGACCATGCCGAGATTCATCGAATTGAAATATTTTTATGCAAATAGATAAGTAAATATTTTTAATTATGAGAGAGATTTATTTTTCTTAATGACTTGACCTACCAGTTAGGACCTCGTTCTATGCATTCTTGCTTATCTGTCAGCCTCACATTGCAATTATTAGCTGCTGCTGCTTGTTCATCCCTGTATTTTTTTTGCCTAAGTCGAATACCACGTCCACAGGTCACTGAACATGGCTCCCATTCTCCCCAGCGCGTCGTTTTGCAAGCCTCTATACACGCAAATTCCATTTAGTTATTAAATTGGAGGATCTCCCCTAATATTTCAATTTCAAATTAATTTCTCGGTAATATCTACGAACGTGTTAATTAATTCATTCAAAATGACCACTAAGGAGAGAAAAAAGCGATAATTTGTGGGCATGAATGATGGAGTAATGAATTATATTGCATAAACGAATAAAATAAAATAAAAATACTTGCTAGGAACTTTGGGTTTTTTGCGGTGAGGGGGATCAGGACGATTATCACCACCTGAGTCGATGGAAGAAGTGACAGCCTCGTCGCAGATTTTGTCGTAGAGCCGTTGGCGATTGAGATGAAGTTTGGCCATGGGCTTCATGTCGGCACCCAGGGGATCATAGAAGGGTGATCGAGTGTCATTCGGCCAGGTCGACGTGATCCGTCTTATTGGCTCATGCGGATCTGTCGGCGAATCCGGTGACTGTGGATATCATATATCACACCTTAAACCTACTCTGGTCACTTTACCCGACCCAGCGACTTTGGTCACGTCCCCAAGCAAAATCTTTGAGTTTTTTTTTGTCAAGAAAAAAATTACTCATCTTCAGTAATACTTGTATTTTTTTTTTATCTATGTCAACATTTTCCAGTGTCGAAATATATATCGCGGTAGAGACTAACTAAATCAGCATTCGAAGAAATGAGATTTCTTTCTTGCACGGGAAATATCCATTTTTCGGAACGGCCCAATCTATTTTTATGGCCACATTTTTTTATTGTCCGGGACGTTCCAAATATTCAGGCCAAGGTATTTTATTTTTAATAATTTCTAGAGGGCTGTTTTTTTCTTTGGGTTCATTGAATTGGTGGGTTTTTTTCTCTCAGTACGTATCAGTACAGAATGAATAATTACTTTTCGGGAAAATCATAAGCCTCTATTTTTGATAGGCAATTTATAGGGTTGGATAAAAATGGCTAGTCGGTGAATTTGATGTCTTTATTCACCATGTAAGTAATGCCGTCGTCAGTGCCCGCATCGACCGGATACAAATTGAGCTCTTTGTGCTCAATCCAGGAGCAGTTCGACAGACAAAGTTCCAGTCCCGATACGCCGACAATCCAATCCGGCGAGGGAACTGTCGAGTAATCAAGTGCAGTAGTTGGTACATTAGAATGACGAGGGAATGAAGATAAAAATTAATTGGAGGCCAGTCCTTACCAATCATAGATACAAGGGACATAAGATGATGCTTTCGATCGACTCTGAATACAGCGAATGTGCGTCCAGTCACGTTTGGGTGACCTACGCCCCGAGCTTTTATAATTGTTCTAATATGTGCACTCTGAAAATATTTTAATAATGAGAAAAAAAAAATAATGTGACAAATGAGTGGGGCACGGAAAAAAACGCCTCCTCAAATAAATCTAAAAAAGCACCTGTTCTTTCAATTCTGATTCTAACGTTCTGGTCGATCCAAATTCAGCGACCTGCTGAAGTCCATTACTGGAAGTATCATTGTATCGCCAGAATCTGTAGTCGACAGTATGAGAGGCCCCAATGACATCGGAGAAACGAATGAGCCAGCTTTTGGAAGGAAAGTCCTGTACACGAGACAGAGAGCTAAGTACATGTATTTGACATAACGATTTCAAAGTACAAATGTTTGGCATTACCTTGGGGTGGGTATTTCTGGACCACAGCCCCTCGAATGTGACTTCATATTTAGCCTCGTCGCAGGCACAGCAGTCTTGCAATACAGGACCGGGATCGTCCTCCTCTACCCTTGGATCTTGACAAACCGTTTTTATGATACCATATTCATCCATGTACCAAGTTTCCGCACTCTCCGCCACTGAAGCTCTGAAATTATTTCCTCAAGGTGCATTATCAGCTATAATATTTTGTTGCATAAGAACGATAATAAGAACGACTAATTGGTGGCGAGAGTGATAAAAATAATACCTAATTAGAATGCATCCACTGTCGGCAGGAGGACTGATCCAAGCAACATTAGCACTTTCCTTCAAAACCATGCTCGATTCAGTCACAGCGTTGAGGCACTTGTCCGAGAATTGTGTCAAGTCCTCATCAATCAAGTCTAGCGTACCTTCCGCAGTGGATGAAATATTTGTGTTTTCCGCGGTCAGTAAAAATCTCGTAAATTTCTGTGGTCCACGAAATTCACGTCCCTTCTCACCCTCGATACTCACTACAAACATGCCACAATACAATCAAAAAATACATTATTATATACACTATTATAACGACCACCGAAATTACTGGCAATTCGTCGAGTAAATTTAATTACAGCCGTCTCACAAATTCAATCCTAAGATATTTCTCCGTTTCCGTTTTCGGTGAAAAAAGGCCGTGATTCGTTTTACTTTCTCAGCCGTAAAACTATCGATTCCATCTCACGTGCCGGAATTATTATTTCTTTTGTTCTTTTCCACTTTTCCGCTTTTCCGCTTTTCCGCTTTTCCGCGTTTTCGCTTGAGCGGAAATTCTTTTGCGACGACAACGGCTGGAGGAAAGTTTATTTTTGCAATTTGTCAGAATTTGATGGAGAGTTTATGAGGTAATTAATTAGGGTCGTTTAAGGAGTTTAAAGAGAGATGAGTTGGCTGGCAAACACATTAATTTCATCTCCCCCCTTTTCCACTTCAATTTACGGTAATTCGCATATTGCCCTATTAAGTCAAAAATTGGAGAGCGTAATTATTATCAGGTGGACAGTTTACCGTGAATTTGTGAAGTCAACGAATTCTATAAACTTTTTGCGCCAATAAAGTGAATATTCACCGGTGATTGATTGTCCAAGGATGAACTTCCAATGACGGTACAGCGAGTTTCAGAAATAATAGGTGCTGATGGCTTTTTCCCAAGTTTATACCATCAATTCCGTGTCAGTACGATAATTGAGGAGAATTGATTGTATTCCCAAATGGTCAAGTTGCGAAAAGGTTTTGAGCATTGAAAGGGTAAACTTGCTTGAAATGGGAGTTTAATTTGTTCCAATAGCAAAATACCAAATGTGAAATGAATTTCTCATTTAGAGTGAAGAATAAAAATTTTTAATGACAGAAAATAATGTTTTAATTAGTGTGCGGTAAAGGTGAGCCCGGATTGTGACCGAGGGTGATGGTGGTAATTGGTAAAGCTTCTCTTCCTACAAGTATTTGCCGTTTTCCTCGTTCGATAAACGATATTTCCCCAAGGCGTCTGGAAGTTTCTCATCGGGTGTTCCACGTGTTAACAGTCACCTCGTTACATCCGTACATAAGGGGAATACCCATACAATTTCATGTGTAAGCCTTCTACCGGGTAAACGAGACTCCCAGAGTTTCTTGTGTACGGTTTAGTCTATGGCTTCCGGGTGTTGCCCCAAACCTTGAGAGTCTTCCCATTCAATGAAGAAAGAGTTTAACGAAAACGAGAACATCTTGCATTGGGTGTTGCTCAACCAACTCTTATTTTGGAATTTTTTTGACTACTCATTATTTGGACTTTTTCCATTGACACATGTTGCTGTGACAGCCGTTGTGTTCCCAGGCAATCAACCACGAATGCCAGTGTGACACCACGTGTGGGGATAGTCATTCAGAAAAAATTCTAAGTCCACTTTCAGTGGGGGATTTTTTTTTCACATCGTACTATTGCTCAGCTTCTAGATTTTGCCTCGTTAGTTTGACATATCCTTGAATTAAAAGAGATTAGTCACAAAGTATATGTCATATTCGTACTTGTACATGAGTATTTGAAAAACAGCCTCCGTGAAACGTGTCGTATTACAGTCGAACAAATTCTGTCGTCGAGGCATGCTCGAAAGGGATGCGGTTTTAGAATAGTTTCCGGTATGTTTCCGTTATTAAAAAAAGACTCAATTGATAAATCCAATAAAACTTATCAATTCAAGAAAATTTCCTTGACATTCACATTGAAATAATCAATATTTTATATTATATTGTCCAAAGTGTCTCATCTGGAAAGTGCTAAATTAAAAAAGACTTTCAAGATGTGAAAGATAACAAGGGAGAAAGTGTGATGTCATTTAAGAGATGATTCGATGAGTGTAATTAAATGGCTTGTGAAAAAATAAAAATCGTCAAGTGGTTTTCATCCTCTCTGGAAAAGCCTCTTAATCCATTTTCGACGCCCATTTCCGACGGTTCTTCCTAGCCAGCCGTATTTTCAAATGATTTGCATGAACCAACGTTGAGTGCCTGAATCCGCATACCCCAGCATTGATTCCGCCAAGTAATTCCGGTGGAACGTGAATTTACGATTTACCTTATATGCCGTGGTGTTGTAAAATTAGCCATTTAGTAATCCGCTTGGGGTGCCCTATCAATCTGTTTCATGTCATGAATCACAAAATTCCATTGCTGGAATTTCATAAAATCTCTCATTCTCTATGATATATCGTCTGGTTTTTAGAACGCGCCTCATAGGAATTCGAATATGATATTCCATTCGATATCGAAAAAAAAAAACAAATTATTCCAATGGAGATTATTATTTTTGGAGACTGTAGAATTGATTGACAGGAAATTCGCCTACGGCTATTTTCATTTTACCACTTTATATTTACATATATAATAGTTTCATTGCCTTTAATAAAAATTTTTCAGGTCCGAATGATTAAATCATTCAATTTTGATGTGCCATTAATGAATCTACGTCTATATCGTGGCACGATTCTCCCTAAATTATCTATTTCAAGTTTATCTCAATCAATCTCGTAATGCATTGATTCTTCTGCAGACAAACTAATTTCCCGAGAATCGATTGGCCACGACGCCAATATCCCGCCTGTAACTAATTAAAGTAATTGTGTGTAATCAACTATTTGAAATTGCAAAGTTTTCAAATTTATTTTGTCCACCATGAGAAGGAGTAATGGAAATTATATGAAAATCATTGAATTGGAACGCAGTGATTATAGAATGGAGAATCACCTACCGATGTATCTCGTATTTGGCATATATGTTTCCACGATTTCAGTTTTATTTAATGCCCAGAGGGTGATGAAAATTCTTCCATCCAAGTTTCCTGCGGGTTCCCCGAGTCCATCCAATTTCCTGTCGCATTTTCCAGCTAATGAAGTCCGGAAAATTTCGCCGAGCAAGACCAACATAATCAGACGCACGTGATGCGCCATCTGATAATTGAAAAAAAATTTCTTAATCACCCCAATAAAATACTATAGTCAAATAAAATCCTTTTATTTTCCCTTTTCCGTCCAAATCGACGCTTTGTAATCGGCCAAATTTTAATTTCATATTTTTTGTCGTATACCAACGAAAATTTATTTTTTTTTCACGATACCGTAAAAAAATAATGCGAATTAATAAAATAATGGCTGAAAAAATTTATTTGAAAATCATCAACTTGAATTTTCAATTATAAAAGTACATTGCTACCGAATCATTCAATTTAATGATGTAATTTTTTACTGAGTCAAGAGTTCCACTACAATTCATCGAAGCATCCACTCCCTGGAGGTGTAAGTGAGTAAAAGCTCCAGGCTAATTTCGCATTATTAATGTACGACTGCATTAACCGTATCAAAGCAGTGCATTTGCACAATCCTTGCGATTGGGCTTCATTTGAAAGTGATATTGAGTCTACAGGATGGTTGTTCATGGAAATTCCAACTCAGAACTACATGATTGCTCATAATAATCGTAACTCCCGGAAATTTTAGCACAGGTATTTATCCTCCTTTTAATATTCTTACTTGGCTGGGTGCTGGGGCTAAACAATTATTAGTGGAAAAATAAAAAAGGAAATATTAGTGAAGTGTAACATTTCACATGACATAATTCCAATTGTCCTCTCATCGATTGGTGTTTTTATCTCTTCACCCCTGTTGAGTTTGAAAGCTTACGGGAAGGCAATCGTACACCCCTCGATTGAAATTGCCACTCGGTGTGTTACCAAAGGATTTATACCTTAATACCTGATATCTTCATTCATCCAGAGATCTTGGCTAATCTCAGGGTGCATAGATGCTCGTCCCATTGACACCATCAAAAGGATCGAGGGAAGCCGCTCCAATGTACTGTATTTAATATCTCTTGCTATACTTTCAAGAGTCATTCTCCCATTTGTAATAACGGTTTCAATTTCAAATAGCAAAAAAAAACCCTCCGAGTGAAACCTCTAAAGACATGTTGCCTCAGTGGCAAAATTTATTGGAAATCTTTCATTTTCATTGATTGCTCCTATCCAATTTCATTGTTTGTCAATTTCAATGCCTTGTGCGAACTCTGAGCTGAAAGTTCGGGGTGCAACGAATTCGGATGGCAGTTGGCCAAACTTCTCATGCCAGAGTCAAATGTCATCTTCTATATGTCACCGGTTGTGATCGCTAGGTCGTTTCAAGTAACTTGTCCCTTTTACCAGTAGTTAGTATCGGTGAGACGGATGTTTTAGATTTTTTTACGCTAGTTTTTTTTTTCTTCACGGAGTTCAGTATAAAAACGTGTAGGCAATCCTTTTTTAGATATATTTTAAGAAATTTCTATCAGCATTCGATGGAAATTTTATGACAAATTTTATTTGCTTTTGCGCACATGAGCATTAAAAAACATTCAACCCTGTAGTGGATTTTTATACTCTCCTATTTTTTGTTAGACAAGAATCGGTTTATGGTGGGTTTTCCATCAAGGTTTGAGAGGATGGATATGTCTCTTCTGATTTCGGAAAATGTGAACAAGTCATTCCAATTTTCATTTATCGATAAGCATCGTGGTAGCGATTTATTGAAAAATATATATTATACCCGTCGACGCAACTAATCACACAGAAGTTCTCGGGAAATTGAGAAAATTCATCCGTCCTTTTTGATTCAATATGACGGCCGGAAGCATTCGAGAAGCTCTTAGATAAATTATCTACAAAATTGAAAAGAAATTCTCCAAGAGAGATAAAACGCCAAGTCTTCCCAGAAAATCCTAGCTCAATGTCAATTCCACAGACCGATCTCTCTATCCCTCTACCAATTCTCAACTTTCTTGTTATCGCCCTTGGAATCTCCATAAATCTATTTCCGTTAATTATTTTTTATCGATTACTGAATAAAAAATTGCAGCGCAATGAATGTAAAATTTATAAATTTGCATATCCAGGTAAAAAATGTAGGGAAAAATCAGTCAAAAAGAATGAATGTATTTTGAGCGACATTTTTTAATTTTATAAATTCATTATAAGTCCGCCAAAATTATCGGGTAGGTATTTGCCGAACGGCATGTGTCAAATTATGCAGTCTAAAAATGGCAAGTGCCGAACAGGACGTTCGAGATGAACACTGGAATAATTCTACAGCTCCAGTAGTATTTACCAATTTAATTCTCCCATTCGAATCTCAACTCGTTTGGAGGCTTTTGACTTTTTGAAGCTAAAAAAAAAATACGAGCTGCATCAGCAATTTCTTGAGCCTCGACTGATAATTAATCCCAAATCAAATTAGAGTAAAGCACTTACGGCCTGTTAAACGAAACTTGAATGAAGACTCAGTTCTCGTCAAAAGTTTTAATCGGATTCCCCAATGTTAAACTGCAATATATTCAGGGAAAAAAAAACAGAGAGGGCACAATTTATTAATTAATGAATCACAAAGTTTATGAATTCACATCTAATAATACTTCTGCAAGGAATTAATCGAGGAGCGGATGGGTAAAGGTCGTGTGTAATCCCATTATAATCTCTTTTGAAGCAACCTTTGAAGGAACAATTTAATTAAAACTCTCTGGAATGCTCAACTTCCGACAGAGGAAACAATAATAAGTTGCATAAATTCATCAATAATCCAGCAGTGAACAATAAAACTCGACAATTTACTTCTATAATAATTTCGCTATAAATAAGTCAAGAAAAAAAAAGAATGAAAATTTTGGTATTGATCATTTCTTCATTCCCCATGCTGTTAAATAATAATAATGTAAATTATGATAAAAAATAGGATGAACTCACCGTTAGATTAGTCACTTTTTTATGAAACAAAAAGATAATTGAATGGAATATTGAAATGCACAGGTACTTGTCAGGTGTATTTGTCAAGTTTAGTATTTTTTTGGTGGATTACATTAAATTGTCACGTGTTTGTGGAAGTGACGAAGGGATTTTGGTACGTCCGTATGGTACGCGGGTTTCAGAACGACTGGAGATGTGCGAGAGACAGCGAGAAAACGACAGTAACAACTGGTGCGCGGGTAAATGCGAATAAACCCCACAGAAAATACAAGTACTCACGCACTCAACCATGCGCACATAATTTCCCTCATGCCGCCTCATTGTTCCCATTTATTGGCTCATTAATGTTCACAAAACTTCATTAAACACTGGAGCCGCTGAGATTTAATATATGAGCACAATAACTTGGATGAATCAATGCTCAGCACGGGGTCAAATATTTTTTCAAGTCAACAGAGAACGAAAGCCAGATATGCATGTGAAGCAACTTTAATTGCATCGACCTTGCGCCAGAGCAATTGTTTTATTTGCAGGATTAATTGTCATGGTGGCCACAATTGAAATTGACTTTCCTTCTCAATTATCGCTTCTGCGTATTTCCATTCAATTCTTTTTTTTTCTTCCAACTCCTGGACTTCATTTGGACTATCTTTTTGAATTTCAATTTCAAGATTTTTTTTTTTTGCTATTGATGCATCTTTGCGTAACTTGGAATTAATCAATAGGTTTCTGTTACGTAAACTAGGTACTACCATTTTTTATTCATTATTCGAGAGAAATGAATATTTGAAAATTATTAAAAAAGAATAATGCTCTGGAATAAATGAATTTAGCCGTATACATTTTTTGTCATTGGCAACAATCCTTTGTTTTATCCGTTGGAAGCTATTTTCATGTTAAGTAGCGAATAAACGCAATTAGCTTTCAATTTCGACATTTCATGAGATGCCAGATTGGATCCTTCAAAATTCATCGAAATATGCAAATGTGTACTGTTTAACCTTTTCATCATGTCCTCTTCATTGACGGAAAGTCAATCAGCAGGTAATGAAAAATATTAACGTGAAATATTTTTCTGCAAATGTTGACATTTTCTTTAATCATTCGATAAAAATCGCAGTTCGCTAGTTTTTTTTTCAGATGATCTCTTCTATTTTCAGTCAAGTGAAATTAATGACTTGTCTCTGAGAAACTTTGAGTAAAAAAAATCTTTGCCAATTTGTCAATTCTCTCGTTATAGAGGGAGAACAAGACTAAAGATTAAATGAAAAGTTCCCTCGCTCCGTCTTATCACTTGGATATTAATTTCATGTGAATGAATGGTTCCAGATAAGCCTCTTGGTTTAAGCGAGAGACAGTGTCCTCAGAGGACACCAAAATCCCAGGTCCACCCGCGCCCTCCGTCAGCCACTGGTGGTCGAAGTAGAATCCCTACAAATGTTCATCGGAATTCAATGTCAGGGGTGAGTATCTCTGGAATAAATCTCAATAGGTTCAAAGAGGTCAACAGCCCTATATTTTTTCCTCTTGTCGTTTTCGCTTGACTCTCCCATGTACCATTCTCAATCCCTCAGGCAGACTCCCATGGGAATCTGGAGAGCCCAAGAGCAGAGGCTCAGAAAGATTCGGGCCGACGTCTCGCATCGAAAAGCTTTAATTCCACAATACCAAAGAAACCACCTAATCCACCATCAGGAATGCAGAGAAGACAGCTTGAGAATCAGTTGCATGTGAAGAAAAATAAGTATGCGACACTCAAGAAGGAGCTAATGGAAAAACAGAAAACTGCAATTGAAATGTACGAGGACGTGGTGCAGCTACGAGAGAAGTTAATCGCCGCTGGGGGAAAAGATCCAGGGAGAATCGACGCGATTCAACTTCTCGGAGGACAGACACTGCACTCACCAGGAGGTGGTGAAATGACTTTCGTCGTTGACTCAACAGTTACCAACGAGTTCGTCTCGAATATTCAGCTTCAATTGGACGGTACATCGAAGAATCTCTTTGACGTCTGTCAAGACACATTGACCAAGTACTCGAAAGTACTTCATCGTTTGATGAGCTCGAGAGATCAATCCCGAGAGGCAGATGCAATGCTCGAGCTCAAAGAGTTCGAAGTGGATCACGAGAACTTGGTGACACGTCTAGAGGCAGCGAGAAAAGTCGAGGATGAATTGAGGAGCAATGTGATGGGCAAAGTAGCAATTTTGTGGAGTGAAATTGAAGCCTGTAGAATAAGAATTAAACATCTGGAGAATGCTGGGGATGATATGGTCAATCAATTGCGGGCAAAGTTAAACAGCGAAGTGGAAAAGTTGAGAGAACTCAAAGAGAGAAAGAGTGCGGTTGATGGGCAATTACAGAAAGCTAAATTGAGGATTAAGGAGCTCGAGGGGAAGGTCGAGGAGGAAGAAACGAAAATATCTCAACTCCAGGGGAATGTTAAGAACTTGGAGGGACAGTTGAAGCACAAGGATATTAATGGGGAGCAGAGACTCCGGGAGGTACAGAAATTATTGAAAAACTCGGAAGCTACTGTTGTGAAATTGGAGAATCAACGGGATAGTCTTGAGTCTCGGTACATTACGAATAATATTAAAGTTGGGAGAGAAAGTGATGATCATTTTCACTTTTTAATTCACTCCTCACTTCTTTTCCCATTTGCTCCACAAATTTATTGACAATGTTTGTTTTTTTTTCAATGGCTACTAACATTTTTTTTTAGATTAATTGAATTGAAGAAAGACTTATCCAACACTGAGCAGGTAGAGTTGCTGGAAAAAATTATTTATCTCGAAGAGAAATCGGAGATTCTTGAGAAACAATTGGAGACTTTGCATCCTGAATTATCAACTTGTCAACAACGAGTGGAACACTTCGTAAACGAAAAGTTGAACATTGAAAATCATTTTCAGACGAAGTTGGAAGAAAAATCCAATGAAATAAAAGACTTGCAGCTGAATATTGAGACTTTGGAGAGAGAGAGAGATTCATTGTAAGCCATTCCTGAAATATAATTCAATTTCATTGCTTCAAATGTTTGCCAATTCCAGTAAGCAAAAGGTGAAAGATCTGGAGTCTGCACCTCCAGTCGCTCCAACATCGCCACGGCCTCAGTCGAAACAATCAGCTAATCCAGAGTCTGAGAACATCAGCTACGGCTCTCTGGAGATCCTGAAAGTAAATGACGGCCTTCGAAGGAATATAACTGATTTGAAGCGCACGCTTAAAGAAGTGGAAAGCGAATTAAATACACGGAGCACGCAATTGCAACAAAAAGAGAAACTTCTTCGGGAGCAAGCCAAGCAATTAAAGATTCGTGACGAGATGTTGGCTGTTATGCAAGGAAACAGGGATAAAGGAAATCTCACTTCTCTCCATAAGGTAAAAATTCGGGGGGCAATAAAAAATTTATCAGCGAAAAGGTAAAATTTCTAATGAAATAAAATATATCTATTATTTATTCGGGCTGTTCAGAGTGGTAAGGATCTCGTAGGAAAAGCAAGTCTTGAGGAATTATACTCGACCCTCGAAGACAAACAAACGCAACTGGTGCATTTGGAGAAGATGGTTAAACAAATGGAAGATCAAGAGAAACGAGCTCAAGAGCAGAGAACACGTCAGGAAAAGCGAATAGCTCAGTTAGAGCTTACATTACAAAACAAGAAGAACGAAAATCGGTACGTGACCCGCGGTGAAAGCCAGCGCTATTCAAACGTACCTAATGCGCAAAATATCTCCCCCGGGCCGCCCTCAAAAGCCCTCCGCACCAAGTCCCCATCAGTTTCCTTTACTGACAGAAAAATCCAAAGATCAAAGACTGTTATGCACTTCTTACCTTCCAATAAATTCGCGAGCTGGCGTGATTATGAGAGTAGTGACGGTTTGGATTTCACTAAAATACTAGACCTCGAGAGAAAATATTATGAGTGCGCTCAGGCTGAGGACGGATTTGAGTCTTTCTACCAATGGCTGATGACAGATCCTTCGAGAAATTCTAGATACTCGTGTCCCTTTAGATATGATAAACAGCCCGAGTCTCACAATTGCGATAAAAAATATAGAAATCAATGTGGCAGGGAGTCGCGGAGCTCTCGGCGGCATCCTCCCCAATGCCAAGCTCCAACGAAAATAATTAAACATCGGAGAACATCATCCAAAGATCCAGATAAACAATATTAGATATTCGACAATTTATTTTTCAATTATTTTCAAATCCATAGCGGAAGTCGAAAACGCTTCATGTTCATTTTACCACACTCTGAATTTTTCAGCGAGAATACGAAATTCTGCAGAGATAACTATCTTTGTGCAATAATTCATTATTCAAAAGAAAGTTTTGTAAGACAGGGCGGTCTGCGGGGGTGTCGTTTTTATTAAAAATTTATGGTCTGATTGAACAGGCTAGGCTACTCCCTGCTGCATCGTCTTTAAAAAAAAAAAATGTTAAATCCTCGAAAGCCCTTTACAGAGTGCCTAGCTGTTGAAACAGACCCGAAATTCAATCACAATTCCTTTGCCATCAACTATTATGTATGTTCTCTTTTCTAGGAAAAGGTTCGGCATCCTGTAAGGGATTTTCTGAGAATAATCATCTTAGAGTGCATACATTTTTATTCATGTATCTTTTTAAAAAGGTCTTCGTATTCAATAAAAAAGCCATACAAATGGACCATTTTATTTCGTATTCCGATTATTACCATCGCCGCTTCAATGATTTATTCGGAAAGGGAAAAACCTATAGATAGTGCAGACTCATATATCAATTTAGGTCAATTGATTTTTATTCATCATTTTTTCCCAATAATTCTCAAATTCCATATAAAAATATATACAATTAATTCAACGAATTCAATCAACTGTCTTCATTGTTACTGTCATCATCACTGCTTCCAGAGTATGCTCCCAGCAATGACAATCCGTTATTCTTATTCTCGTCTTTACTGGAAATGCCAGGTTCCGAAGAATTTCCGTTACTCGAGGCATTATCAAAACTACTTGAAATATTCACATTACTGCAGTCGCTTGGTGATCCTGAAGCCTTTGAATTCCCTTTACATTGATGAGCAGCAACAATCCCCAGACTCGCTTTTTTCTTCATCAGATGTTTGCTTGAAGTTTGCGATTTAATAGAAGCTGAGGACCAGCTGGACCAGGGGCCCTCTCCCAACGAAGTTATTGACGAAGTCGAGGTGCTGGGCTTTGCACAGGACTCGTCAATCGATCGAACCTCTTCCTCATGGAATTTTCCACTGGAATTTACATCTGCAGCATTCAAACTCGTCTTCTGGATCTTGTTCGCCCTTTTTGGACTCCCTTCGGACTCTTCCAATTCGATGATCTCCTCCTCCACAACAGTCCCAGTTAATTTCTTTTTACTGAAGATGGACTGGACATATTCCTCGTCCAATTCTTCCTGCTCCTTAATTGTCCTCTGTCTCGCAGTCTCGGTATTATACTGCTCCAACATTTCATCGTAATTAATGGTTTGCTGTCGCCTATTCAAGTCCTTCAGCTCCTCCAAAGACTCCAGCAGCTCCAGCTCTTGTTTAGACTGATGTGTCCTCTTCTCTAGGAGTTTCATGGGATTGGTCGCTTCTTCCTCTTTCTCCTCGTCCTCCTCTCTCTGTGCCTGCTCCTCAGCCAATTTTAACGCCATGAAATTTCTCGTTGCTCCCGCCTCAATCTCGTAATCAGTATTTTTTGGATCTGTCTTGAAGGATATCTCCTGCAGGCATCTCGTGCATTTTATGTAGAATCGATAAATCCTTATTCCAAGGTAGTCGTCACCTTCAACGTCCTCTTTACGAGCGTTGAATTTTTTCCCTTTGTATATGTACTCTCCACAGGTTTTGCAACGCATGTTGAAAGGGGCCATCAAACGTACTGTGTATTGACGATTTTTGGCAAGTTTCATACGAGGAATTTTCGAGGGATCAAAATCCGGGGGGTAATATTTCTGGAAAAATAAAATTTCAAAGTAAAAAAAAATTGAGCAATACTCAACCAACTTCCAGATGGTATATATTCCATAAAAATTTAAGGGAATCCTTCTTGTGTGTACTTACATTCAATACTTTACGTTCAGACATTTCGCTGGTTTATTAGGAACCAAAATATCACAGTATATTATCCTTTATGTTCGACGAAATAACGGTGTTCTAAGAGACAAACCCAATTGTTGTCTATATCGTCGGGGTTATGTTGAATTTCATTTGACCATTTATCATCCAGACGATCCAGACAATTTCGAGAGACTTTCCTTGTTTTCAGTATTTTCCCAGAGATGGCACTCTCCTGCACTTTCATACAACATAAGTCAACTAAATGTTTTCACTTGTGTTCATATAATATCCCCACTTCATTGAAGTTCGGTTTACGTTCTGCTGCAGCATAATTTTCCACAATTCTCCCGATACACGAAAGAAACGAACAGTAATTAACATTATCATCATTGCATCAGTACCACGGACGTTGTCACAATAATCACCTCAAAGGATAGACCGCTGAATAATGAATATCGACACTAAGGTATTGAACTTCTGGAGAATAATGGAAAGAGTGATGACTCGATAGAGACGTCTAAACCATTCTAAGATGTGTAAAACGAGTGAAAAAGGAGTGAGAAATTGACACTCATACACAACAACTCTCATTTGTAACAGTGATTATTACAGTAAAAAAGTCATCATGGATTTTGGAGAATTACTAACTGTGGCGCAGAAGAACAGTGCAAATAAACAGGTTAGTTGTTATTTGCTCTCTTATTATCGTCAATATGGTACAAAACTGCCCATTGCATACGGTAATTATCCAAAAACTGACGTGAATGTTCTTATTTTTCTTAATGCCTTCAGAGGAGTTCGTACTCATATCCAGCTAAATTTACACCCCCGAAGAAAGAATCTAAACAATCGAAAGCATTGTCTGATAATATCAAGAGATTTTTGGCGAAAAAGGAAGAGGAGGAACGACAGAAGGCATTGGAGGAGAAGAGGAAAAAAGAGGTGAATATTTCAGTATAATTTGTCATAATTCTTTCTTATCTGTGGCATGAGTCACTAATTCGTATTTTTTTCCACAGAATTTATTGGCACTACGGGACCACAAAGCCCAAAGTAGAATAAATAAGCATTTGAAAGTATGTAAAGCGGCCAATAAATCAGTGATCGCTGATGCCGTAAATCATGAAAATACTGCTGTCACGATGGCGGGTAATTATATTATTATTTCAACTATATCAGGATAATGATGGATAAAGTATAGGAATATGTGATAACTTTTGCCAATTTTTCTATCGATCATGATGATTATAATGGGCAATGTTTTGCCCCACAGGTGTTCAATGCCTCTAATAGTCTGAGAGAGTTCACGTGGTCAAGATGATACAGATGAAGAAATGATTTCAATGCTAGAAAAAAGTTAACCAGAAGATTTCAAGGAGATACATTCGGATTTGAAAAGTGCTGGTCATTTTTTGGTAGCAAAGAGAAAAGAGATAAATGTTATGGGGTATTTCATTCATATTTGGCAAGAGTTATTATATTCACAAATACAACATTGGCTGCTTCTATTATCTTCAAATTAAAGAAATAATTTCTGAACAACTGAAAAATAATACAATATTTAATGTGCTCCGATAGGTCCTTCTCAGCCAGATGAGGATGACTACGGCTACGTGTCTCAAGAAGCTTCCGCCTTTTACAACAAACTAATGTCCAAGTATAGCAATCTGCCTTCAGAGAAGCCTCTATTCAGTGAGAGTGGTAAAAAACCAGTGAAAGACATTGCCTCGACGAAAGATCGTGTGAAACAGGCCCTGAAACAGCAGGAGCTCGAAGAGGGTATGCCCCACCGCCGGAAAAGAAAATCCTCAGGTGCTCCAGACAAAGATGATCCACGTGAGAAGGACTATTCCACCGACAGAGATCGTGATCGAGATCGATCAGACCGTGTCTCCGAAAAAGAGGACAAACCAAAACCGAAGAAGCGAGCATCAATGCCCCCTCCCATGGACTTTGTGGCACTCCTAAAATTAGCTGAGAAAAAACAACACGAACCTCTACCCATCGAAATCAAACCGAAGCCCAAACTGGAAGAGCCTGAACGCCTCATGACAAAGCGACAGATGAAGGAGTATCAGAAAGAAAGAGAATGGAAAGAGAAAAAGGAGAGGGCTAAAAACGGAGAAATACCGAAAGCCCCCACTGCCTCAATCACCTCAACTTCCTCAACGGACAAATCAAATGATAAATTCAATGATAAGCCCAAACCTGTGCCAAACAGAATTCCAAAACTTACCAATGGGAAAAATTCTTCTTCGATACTCGAGAGAACTCTCACGAAATCGATAAACCCAGTGTCGAAAAAAGTTCCAGATCGATTGACTGAGAAACCATCACCCTCACCTTCGAAATCATCGGAGAAAGATGCGATTCTGGAGGAGAGGCGGAAATTGGAAGCTGAAAAACGTGAGATTGAAATGATGAGGAAGAAATTGGAGGAGGAGAGGAGACTCATGGGTCTGGGCAAGGGAAAATCGAATGAGGAGAGTAGAAACAAATTAGTGAAAGTTAATGGAAAAATGGAGAAGGGATCGGGAAGTTCAAAGGATGTTAGACCTAGGCAGGTTCCACCTAGTAGTGTGAAACCTAGGCAGTTTCCACCTAGTGATGTGAGGTCTAGACAGTTTCCTCCTGGTGATGTTAAACCTAGACAGTTTCCACCCTCTGATGTTAGACCGAGACAGTTCCCACCTGGTGATGTGAGAGGGGCTAGACCCAATAATAGACCGATGAAAAATGGCAGGCCTATTAATAAACGTCGCATTTTCGATGATGATGAGGATGAATATGACTCGGAGCTCGATGATTTTATTGATGATGGACCACAGGAAGGGGCTGAGGATTATAGCAAATATATTAGTGAAATATTCGGATATGATAAGAGCAGGTACAGCGCTTTAGATGATGATGATGATAATATGGAGAGCAATTATGCACAGCAGTTGAAAGAGGAGTTCGTCTCAACAAAGATTGGTAAGACTTCAAATACAATTTTCATTGTCCAATCCGACATTTCAACATTTTCATTATTTCAGGAATTATGGAAGATCTGGAAGATATGAAGCAAGAGGCTCTTGAAAAAAAACGTAAATTACTGCAGAAGAAGAAAGTGAAAAAGTAATAGTGAAAATGAATATATAAATAAAGAGCTTGATCTAAACGTGAAATGATGTTTTCGTCGCCAAAAAAAAAAATGGGAAATATTTTGATATTTGGAGGATTATCAATTTTTATCATGTGAACAAGAGATCTATTTGATAAATTATGTATGTGAATAATTAATATTCGATCAAATGATAACTCAATGCTACTCTTCACAATTGAATACGTGTACATGCATTTACTGTTCATACATCATTTGTACAAGCACTTGTTTTCCATTTGATTTTAATCACTCATATCTTCTCCAGCAAGTCTCAAAATCATTAATTAATTTAAAACGTAAACTGCCAAGTTCTATTCCGTGAATTTATAAAAATACAGGTACAATTATTGTATCAATAAATGATAAAGAATTTTTGTTATTGTAAACAGTTACAGTTCACAATTCACTTTATCTCTAGCAGCCATTCATCGACACTCATCAACCTCGTAATCAACAAAAATTCGTTGAAAAAAATGTTCCATCACGTGGTGTATTGAAATAACAACGCCGAAGGAGCTCTTATTGGAATGAGCCGTTTGTCGCCTGTGGGTGCAGTAATCATCCAGTAATCTCTCCCATTGATATAAGTTTTCTTTGCAGTCCTACCATTTCCGTAAATACTCTCGTAAATCGGTGAAATCTTACCAACGCATGAATCAATATTTGCATTGCTATAATTAGCAGCACTACTGTCATATTTTCCCACTGCATTCACATCTTTCACACGACCTTTTCGATTTGGAAGTAATTCTAGCCCTGGCACAATTGGGCCTGACGTATCACTGCTCTCTATCCTGTGTGCACAGCAGAAACAACTTTTTTTGCAGCAAAGACATGACACGTCCTTTCTGCGTCTGATTATTTCATAAATAAACATAATCAAAGCCGCTATGAAACCAGCAGCAATCACTCTATATGTCAAAGACAAGTCCGAATTTTTCAGTTGTCGCTCGGTGGTTTTCAAATTCAGGGGACAATATTTCACCTTTGGAAGGTTCTTGGTTTCTAAATATTTTATTATTCCTACTTCTATGAGAATTTGCAACCTAAAATAACGATTAAATAATTAATAGATGAAATTCAAAAAGAAAATGGTATGCACTCACTGTTTATCGAAAGCTTGCCGAATTTTCGAATTTTTCTGATGGATAAATCCCCGAGGAATATTGTACAATGTCTTCGGGACTGTGACGTAGGGACATCGTTGGGACTGCTCAAGATTTTTCCGAGTTTTTTCCGTGTAATCGTTGAAAATTATCGTCTCGATTATGTCCCTTTCTCCAAGGAATAGGGTGTTTTGACGGAGGAGTGACAAAACCTTTCCATCGCGGACTTCCATTTTGTAGGGTGAATTCGCCAGCTCTTTCATGATATTGTTATGTTCCTTCATGCAAGTAAGTTAATTTTAGCAGTTAAACAATCAGCGAATGCATCATTTTATTATCGCTAGGCCCCAGACGTGCGCAATTGCGCACGATCATGGGGAGTCAGCGCTTCAGCGCTGGAAATAAATCATAATAGAAAGGCGGCCGACAAAATGGCGAATAACATCGGAGAACTCCGCAATTCTTCCATGATCCTGCTACAAAACTCCCATTTCATTCAAATTTAAAAAAAAATATCTTTTTTGATTGATTATGTATATGTCTAATTCTTTCCAATTTTAACAAGTTTACACGACAAATATATATTTATACTTACAGTACCGAAGATATTATCGATAGTTCGATCATTCTCGAAGAACCATGGTACCTTCTTCTTTACAATATCTTCAACCGATTTGTATGGCAGAGTAAATCGTGATAATGTTAAAAAAGCAGTCAAATTAGCTGTGTAAAATGATGTTAAAATTGTGATGAAGATCCACCACGTGGCAAAAACTAAACGAGTCGAGGCTGTGAAATTAAATCGAATAATCAATTAAACAACCCATGGCTCACAAAATATTTGTTAAATAAACGAGAAATTATTACTATTCACAGGAGTTATAGAAGATCCTTGTTTGAGAAGAGCTCCATAGGTAAACCAGACGCACGAAGTGAAGTCATACTTGTCAACTTTTGTCCGATTCCACAAGTACGATCTACAAATAATTACTTGATTATCAATTCGATTGAAAATTATTAAAAAATCGGTATAACTTGAAAAAATGGTGTATCGGGAAAAATCTGAGATAAAACAGTTGACCTGAAAGAGGTGAAGAGAAATACTATTGGGCCAATGACCAGCAAAGAAATTAAAATGCAGATCCAGACGGTTGTATCGAAGGGTGCAAGAAGTCCAGATCCAGACGCCGACTCTGAGGGCCTCATCATCATGCCCACTATACTTGTCTCATCGAGTATGGGACTGTACCGAGTGAATTTCGTAAAATTCCATATCATTGGAATAAATGCCACCGCTATATCAATTTCCTGAGTCATAGATAATAATAATTAGGAAATAAAATCCTACCAGTATCTCAATTATCCTTGTTGTAAAAATACCTGATTTTTCAATAGACCGAGGAGGCCTCGGGACTCATCTCCTAGTCCCGGTCTTTTTGGCTGTACAATCTCATACGATACATTTAATTTATTCACTATCAAATTGAGTATCTCGAAGGCATAGCCCTCACCCATCAAGCTACCATTTATCCGAACGGTTGAAGAATACGGCGGGGTCTTGAATGAATTTTCAATTAATTTATTACTTCAACGATTGAGTAGATTTATAGAAATTAATACGTATACGCGTAGACAAATAAAATCTTTTACTCCTGACAGACTTGATTGGACTCACCTCCAAAGTGGCGACTCTGATCGACTTGGGTAAAGGTTCATCAACAAAAGCAGCCCTCGAGACATCAGATAATGAAATTTTGAAATAATCCGGTGAATTCTCCCCTAAAATAACAAATTAAACATCCAGTAACACTTGACTCTGACGACAAAAACTCTAATCTCTAATTTCCTACAATCGTAAGGATTCTCAAAGATGATTCCATTGTCTTCAGGATTGGTGACATTTCCAAGAGCAGTGATACTCATCATCATCAGTTCAATGCCCCGCATTATCCACCACTTTCCATCCCCTCACGACTACATTTTTATCCAAAAAACAACTGGAATTACTCCACAACTATTTCACCAGGAACATCACGAGAGGACCGGCACTTGATTTTTGAGGCACTCATAGCAAAAGTCTAGTTGAATCGATACTGCTGGAGGTACCCTCCATATCCAACCGGCCAACTGCCCCTAGGATGACATTTTCTGTTGACAATACTTCAGCCCCTCTGGATACCCTCTCTATGTGTATGTTTTACGTATGGCGATAGTGATCATTTACTGTCACGCGTCACGCCACATATTCTAGATGATCTATTACTGATTATTGGCTTGGTGATGCTCAAACTTTCGAAGGGTGCCACTCGATTTTTATCGCTCAGTGAAGGACAAGGGGCTAAATTTTTATGATCCACACTCTTCCTCCTTTCTTTTCCATAATTGCAGCTTCCTATATGGTAATGGATTGGGAAATTGATTATTCATGGAATGGATTTTTATTAAATAGTCTGGGGAGTGCCAGTGGGATTTCCGTATGAGCATCAATTATGAATCAATCGTAGAGAATAAACCAATCGTACAAATTGCTTGGATTTTGACAATGAAACATTGGGGTGACACGTTGGTTTTTACTGAAGCGGTAGTTTTTTCCTCGTCCTAGCTACACTGATAACAATCTGCCACACATTTTAAATACGAAGGTGAAGGTCATTATCTTCATGTTGAATAAAACGTTCCTGTAGCGAGAGATACAAATTAATTTTTGAGAGAATCAATGGAATTTCTCGATCAGTAGGGTTTGGTCCCACGAAAGCTTAGCACCCCGGAAAATTCGGAGAGCCGAATATTTCCGGTATTTTATTAATTCCTAATAACCCCCTCGTCTCCGCACATAGGTAATGAGATAGATAATGAGATATGTCATTGAAATAAATGACACTTGACACTTTCTCTCCGTCGTCTGATATTACATGGGCGTTTCTATTTGAAGAACCCTGAAGTAGGGTCGATAGAATAGTTCTTGCTATTTTTTATTAACTCCTCAAACCCTAAAACTAAATTCCACAGAAAGCTTTATAAAATGGACTGCATCATAGAAGAAAATTCATTCTATAGGATTTCCTATTTCCGACATAAAATAAAATCTCATGTGAAAAATTGAGCGTTGGGGAGATTTCTGTAGAGAAAAAAATTGCGAGAGAACAGGATTTCCCTATGAAATATCTATCGTATGTATTTTCTTCGTCACATTCTCCATGTACTTGTTTTGATTGACTTTCCGCTTGCAAGTGACTCTGTTCTAGTTTATCATAATTGAAGAACTGTGTCTCGACCCACTTTAGCTAGCTGCACATTTTAGTGTTTGTAGAAACAACACTAGAATCGCTCTCTATTATTATCAAGCCAAAGTGGTATCATTGGGTTTGTTGGAATTGCATCAATCATGTAAGTTATTCTAATTCACAGTGTTTTTCACATTTTTTCACAGAAAATAATTTTTCATCGGGACGGAAGAAAATGAGTGGGTGACGGACGGCCTCGCTAACATGACAATTTTTTGTTTTGGGCTCTTCGTGTTTGATGATCACTTTTGATAATCCTTAAACAGTAGTTTAAGGGCTGTAAAAGCTCGGGAAAATGGAACTCGTTATTGCGTATTGAATTCTCTTTGTCATACAAAGACATATACTTTTCATATTAAATTGACTATTTCTCTAAATTATATAGGAGTATATTTATTTATTTATTTTCTAAGTAACAGCAAAATTAGTCATCAAATGGAGATGATGAAGGGTTAGATGGTAGTGTTGTTACAATTGTCAAGAACAAAAGTATAAACAAATGGCGAATTTTGCTGGAAAAATTGATCGAGAAATTGATACATACCAGTACCGGGAAAATACATGGTTCTATAAGAAAAATTTGGTATGATTGAACTCAATAGCGTGAAATGCAATGAAGAATTATTCTGGATGTAGAGTATTAGCCAGAATTTCAGTGTATTTTTCGGTCGACTTGTGGTTGAAACAATTGGAGGAGATTGTTGGCAATCTAGTGTGCCCTGGAATCACTCCATCGAGGACATTAGGGAGAGACGTTGGAAGAAGACAACAAAGGTACGTCAATTGTCGCTCTCAATGAAGATAAATTCAAGCTTGATGGGCTGACACTCTTTCTTCGTTCATCTATTTTATTTCTACTTAACTCATTACCCATCAGTGAAGCTGAGACTTTGATGCGAATTACTTTGGTTTCTAGTCTCATCTGTAATTGGCAATGACTCACCAGTTCTCCTGGGGTGATTCATCATTTTTTTTAAGGAAATTTTTGAGGAATTTATGGATGCGATGATAATAAAGTTCAAGTTCATGTTCAAATCGTTGTCGGTGGTTTATTCTTTGGCACAAGGTCAGTGTCACATAGTGGAGGCGAAATACCAAGAACGTAGCTGCATGAAATAGCACTGATTGCGATGACTTATTGCATTGAATTAGTAAATCGTCCTGGACGAGTTATGCTTGTTTCTATCGACTTAATTTACACCTCGAAACGTTCTATTTCAGTCCTTCCCAGGGCTTTTTATTTTTACAATCTGAAAGAACCGGAGAAAATTCATACAAATCCAATTCAAATGGTAAACCTGGCAATTGGACAAATTTCCATTCCTTTTGCTTCCTTTTTTCCAATCAGAGACGTACCGATTCAATTACAGTAATTTACGTAATACTTTCGATTTTCAATCATTGTTGAAAAAGCTTTACGGAGGAAATAAACAAACATTGACAATCACTAGGAAAACAGGTGGAAATCGACGAGCTCGGGTAATAAAAAAAAAAGTCTTGAGGTCAAATGAGAATGAAAGCCAAAGAAAAGGTGTTTTTTAAAATGTATAAATGTGGTGGTGTTGAATTAGGTAATTGCTGTTGTCTCAGTTCATAGGATATATTTAAATGATAAGAATCGAACCAATACCGAGTGTTCCTTCTGACATTTCACCTCGCGATCGATAATCGTTGAGATAACTACAATTAACTCAATCACCTCGACTTAGCTCCTTCTCCCTCAAACACTACATTAAGTTAATTCGTAGAATTGAAGGAATGGCAAAAAAAATGGATAAATGGAGAGGGAAAATGTTGTCCTGTTGTTAGGAAAAATAAATTAGCCAGAAAAAATAAATTGGTATCTTTCAACTTGCATATTTAATAGCTAAATTAAAGTACATTTTTCATATACAAATCACATGGTCTATGATATAAAGTTATAACTATCAATCAATCCACCAATCAATCAATCGTAAATTCACCAGAAACAAATAACTTTTGATAACAATTAAAATAAAGCAAGAGAGATCGAGAAGTGGAAAAAAAAAACTGGTAAAAAAAGAAAAGTAGCGGTAATTATCGTAAAGGAAATTTTCAATTGAAATAAATAATTAAAGGGAAAGAAACAGTTGCTTACTGTTTCTATTTTATCCTCTACCAAGGTAAATAATAAAAAGTCTATTGTGAAAGCATTGGAACGAATGTAAGCGAAGCTACGATGGATCTAGTCTTCGTTTGCTGTTCTATAAAAGGTGTGGAAAAAAAATATATTAGATCGTATTACCGTGACGCTTTGCGTTTTATCACATGCAACGATCGTGTGCGGTCATTTCGCCCGATCGATTCATTCTTTTATTCCTTTACTCGACTCAGAAGTCATTATCACTCATGTCTTATTGGACTTCGAGGTAAATCAGTAGCAGAGACTCACAGCATGTCAAGTCCAATGTAAAATTTCATTTTATTCCGCTATTATTTCGTCAATTAGAAAAATATCTGAAGACTGACGAGTTTTATCAATTTCGTAACAGAAAAAATTTCCAACAATTGTAATTTTTTATTTTAATCACCACAAGTTAATCAGACCCAGACGCTTTCCCAATTTTTCCACCGAAATTGCACTACCTGACCATAATATACAATCGCATGATTAATTTCCAAATAAGACCAAATAATCATAAGCCTAATTAATAGTTTTCGCATTAGCAAATAAAAAACTAGGACAGAGGAGTCATAGACTAGCGGGAGTGGTACGATGAACAAAGCGATTTGAAAATATTTTCTTCCATTTGTTCCTTGAGATCCATCCACCGTACACCGTCCCGATAAAAAATATTGTGTTATAAAAAAAAAAAAAATCAATGGTAATTCAGTGATTTGATTGCTGAAGTGACACTTCAATTTTCATTTCTTCCAATTGAATTCCGTTAGATCGAAGTCATGGGATGTTGCAATCCTCCAGCTGTTGATTTCTTTGGGACGACGACAACGGGGTCTCCAGGGAGGCAGCAGTGTTCGTTTGTTACATATTAAACTATCGTTCTCTTAGTTGATTAGAAAAATTCCAATTCTCTCATTTACTTCCATCTTTTTTCTTCCTGTGTTCAATTATTTTTCTCTTGTTTTTTTTTTTTTTTTTGGCGGTTGTGATGTTTAGTTCCGTGTATTACAAAGCTCTTCATTGGAACACCTCTAGTGGCCACAATAACTCATCAACTCAGACATGGAACACGGCTTGACACAGCATTCGTCATGAACACCACGTGATTGACGACGAAATCTGACACCACCAAAGCGTCCCATCATAGCATTTGCACTTGCTCTTGTTCGGAAAGGATAGTCATAAGCGTAAGGATAGTCATCCATTTCCATTTCTGTAAGTATTATGAAATTATCAAAATATCAATTTTTTAAATTATTCGACACCAGGAGTAAAATTAAATTCACTCTATTCTCATCGTTAAAGGAAAAAGTGTTGATGACACTTCACAATAATTTTTAATAATATTTTTGTTTGTTGGAAAAAATTGTGAAATGATGATTGATTATGATGAATTACCTTGGCCACTCTTCTTGAACATTGGATTATATATACCATCGCAGATTAACTGCAGGGCATTTGATAGATGTTTGCCGCAGTATTTGCGTGCAGTTGAGCCGTCCTGGCGTTTTTCACCATATTGGTATATATCGGACTGGGCATTAATTAGATGTAAAATAAATGCCACTGCGAGCACCAGAGTCACAATGACGTTAGACCGATACGTGGACATCTGAAATCATAAACCCTCCTGATTTATCTATCCTCACACGATTTTCCCATTTTTCATTTGCGTAGCCAATGCGACAAATGAAATTTCCCACAATAATAATTGTAATGAGGAGAGTCCGACGTTTTGTTAACTTGACTAAATAAATATGATTAGTTAATCATGACATTTCATCAACGGGTCTTTGACTTTTATTTTCTTCTATTGATATTGACGTTTTCAACGTCGAAATTCATTAAACATTTATTACAGTTGGTGTGATGATGAGAGAATTCATAACGAGACAATTACTTAAATTTAATGCTGATTACTCGGGCAATATCTCTGGTAGGGGATATTTTTAGAGGAAAATATCGAAAGACTGTGTCTCATAGAAGAGGGTATTTTTGATAATCAAATGTTTTTTTATGTTTACCTCTGGACCCATTAATTATCGATGTACTCTCTTCATTTCAGAAGATATACAGTAAAAAATCATTTGTTCATGTCTTTTCCATAATGAGAACTTTTTGATTTCAATCGATGATTTATTCGTCTCTATTATTGATAAATTTCACTGAATTGCTAAGGGATTTGTTTTGGGTCATGGCAGTCTAATAAAATGAGATAGAGCGCGATATTGGAAAAGATGTAATGAAATTAATGAATTCTAAACCTATCCCTCAATGCCGATCACTCGAACAATTAAATTCTATCGATGGAAAACTTTAAAACAAATTTAGCAAAATTATCTGTCTACGGCGCCTGAGCGACGCATCAGAAGGGTCGCGTAAAAAATGGCGAGTGCAATAAATAGATGAAGAATGGTGTCCGTTATTTTTAGATAATCACCCGTTTAAATATAAAATAATTTCAATTATAAAATATCACCGATCAACTGGAGAACTAGCAAAGTAGGACGTTCGCCCCTCGTTGAAATTTTTTTTCCACAATCACCGAATTCATTGAGATGTCGGATTCGGTGGTGATTATCGGTGAGAAGTAAACACATGTCTTGAAGAAATACCAATAAGAAATTGTGGTGAATAACAGTCGATTACGATAAGTAACGGTTACTGGAGGCCGAGGACGGTCATTGTCTTGTCTCCACTCATTCATTTAATTTTCGTTTTATCTGTTGTGTCGTGCGCTGTGCGAAATCTCTCTCAATGGCAACGGTGAATTAACAAACCCCATTTATTCGGCACCATTATCCAGACCACTGACTCCTATTATTCTCATGTCTCTTTTTTTCTATCCGCTATTTTTTTCTCTGTTTTTTTTTTATTTTCGCTCACAGTTGGCGGAGCTAATCGACGTTACGAGATACCGAGGGTAACGGAACAGGCGAATGCACTTGATCATTTGTGCTTGTTATATATTCCCGAGATTGCCGGGGTGATCGACTTAACTTGCCCATTTATATTTAGTTTTGTGATTGAAAGGAACCATTTCCGCGAAAGGTAAACGCTTGGGGAGAGGGAATAGATATTTCAATCGATTATTCAAATTTCGATATTCAATGATATATTGTAATAGCGAAAATATTTAAAAAATACTGAAATTATTGGGTGCTTCTTCGTGTTCAACCATTTTTCTTCAGTTCATTATTCACTACCTTTTGAATAAATAATTTTTTACGGCGTGCTAGTTTAGGTGGTACGTTGATTGAATGAATTGCAATCTGTCATCGAGATTAATCGAGATAATACATTCTATTTTTTATTCAAGTAGAATTTTACCCGGTGATGATTAAATCGACTCCATGAATTATACTTCAATGTACATAATCATATATGCTATATAATATAAGTCTTCCATGATTTTCTACTAGAAGTTTTCTACGGGATTTGGTGAGTTTCGAGAACAGACCAAAGCACAACGCGATTCGCAAAATTCAGAGATAACTTTAAACCAGTTCTTCTCTCAACATACTGAATCATCATCAACATTCGCCCTGTATTCAGGATTACATAATTGACCGGCACCACTGATATCTTGGAACCCCCCCGATGTTCCCAGAAGAGTTGAAAAAAATATCCAAACCCCGGAAACCATAAAGCCACTAGAAATATAAGAACCCCAGAAACCATTAAACTTCATTAAACCTCATCAAACCGGCGTCCCCTCTCATCAGCCATCCAATCATTTGAAATCGCCACGAAGGAAAAGCCCTCAACGAAAGAGAAAATGTTAAAAAGAAGAGGTGGAAAGAAGTCTGACGCCGGCGCCGAGTAAACGTGCACGCAACAACCAAAAGTAATTGTCCATGTGTAACCGGTGTGGGTTTATTACACGAAGGTAACGCGTGATCGCACGTATGCAATATGAGAACAAGTCTCAAATGGTAAAAAAAAATAAAAAATAAAAAAAATGCCAAAACATATGTCCAAAAAAGTTGAAAAGAAAAATGTCAACTCACTTAGTACTCCTTGACGTTTTCCACAATCACAAATGTACAATAAACTCAACTAAAATATCACTTAATCAACAGAAAATATCACAGTTGGCACCACCACAACGAAATAAACTCACAAAAAAATAAACCGACTGGCAAAAAAAAAAAATTAATTACAAAATAATCATTTAAGAATGGCGATAATCAATTGGACGGGATCATGAAATATTCCGTTGATGTATTATCAACCCTTCAGTTTTATCAACCTGACTTTTAGGCACAATCAGCCCTTCACTCTGTCTCGAATACATTTATAGCTCAAGTGTGTCTTGAAAAGCTGAAGTGAAATGAGAGGTAAAGTGATATCAAAATTTCGGTAATATTTATTTGAATTGTGGGTGTTGGTCACTCTTTTTTTTATAATGATTGTCTTGATAGTGATGGAGAACAGTGGATATATAAACTGTTGGAGAAATTTGATGGAGAAGAGACCGAGGATGGAGTTGAGTCCACGACCTGCTAGCGTTCTCCTACGAACGAGCCGCGCAATCAACTGGAGTTGGGTCACAGAATCAAGAGACGTTTAAAGCCAGTTACAATGTGCAACACGATGCAACGTACACTTGTACTTGTCACACATTCTCTGGCTGACTTATCTTCATTCCATGGGTTAGTCGAGACGATAGACGGGATACAAAAGGTGTCTAGAAATTGACCAACAATGGGGAGAAGGAGAAGCCGCCTAAGAATGATCTTTACTCTCGGAAACCCACGTTTATTCATCTCATTCCTCTCAGACTTTCCATAATAATCACCGGCATCAACCCATTATTCCCTCTGTCTCAATATAGATTATCGATTATTATTATATGTACAATTACAGCATTATTTTGAATTGACTCGATCGCCCAATAGCTCTAGGCCTTCAAAAGTGATTGACCCTGTGAATCAAAGACTTGAAAGAGAAAAATTATTCCCGAAAAATCATTCTCAATGGTTGACGTCAAGAGAATAGAGAATGAGATGAGTAATTTACAGTTGAACCGTAAAGATTGGAATAATGGAATATTCCAGAGATTCCTGTACTCGAAGCTCTGTTAGCATTTGATTAATCTTACGATTGGTCGAAGCACTTCACTAAGAAATGATGATATTTCCCTTATCACAGTACTCACCATATTTGTTAACAACAATAGAGGTATTCTCGATAAATTTCGGGGTATGGGATGTTGATGTATAGCTGGGTGGTGGAATATTGTTATTTAGATCTTAGTCGCAGGATGTTCGAAGGACTTGTGCTGTTCGAAAAGAGGCACCGCTGCCTTATAAGTACCTCGGGCTACGTACGTTATGCTGAACAGCTAAGACGTGCTCATTAAACATGTTACACGGGTGCATGTCAAGTTCGTTAATGGCTTGGGCTAATGCCGTAGCCATATTCGATATAGTTAAGCAAGATGATGGGGATAAAAAAAAATGTTGAGGGAGGATAAGTCAAAGCGAATTCATGCGTGAATCACTGCAGTTGAATAATAACACATCATCTTTTTTCTTTTTCCTTTCCTTACGTCATTTTCACCCCTTTTCCACTAAGAGTCACTGCCCTTATCATTAAGAACCAGTCACCTGGAGGCAAAATTTTCTCCAGGACATCTATCACGAAATTTTGCAAATATCTATAATCTGACGAAATTCCTTTTTTTTCTTTCATTTTGTGGAGATCACTACTGCAGTTTATCCTGACCTACTTTGAGCATGTCATTAATTTGTCCTCCTGATTAAAATTACGTTGACTAAATGATGATGCCTGAGGTGGGATTGACTTGAAGGGTAAGTTTTATTCTGGAACCGAATTTTCAATCACGATTTGGTACAGCTGAGGTTTATATGGGTAATATAGATGGAGGTATTATTCAACTAATTATTTATATGGAGTTCCCTTGATATAGAGCAATGTGAGATGAGCGACATCACGTAGGGCTTAAGTCAAAGTTGAATAATGGAGAGGATGGTGAAGTACGTGTGAACCTTTGGCTGGTGGAAAAGCGTGTCTATCAATAGAAAGATGTCAATTATAATTGAGAGACCTCTTCGTTTTAATGTCTCTGGTATGTGTCGGCGTGTGTCATATTTAGAAGTTTTAGATAAAATGGGAACACTGTATTTTAAGACAGAGGGTGTCGCGTGAAGTATGAACAACGATCGTCGAAAAAGAATTTCCTCATGTCGCGGTCATTTTTTTTTTTAAATCTCTACTCCCCTGTTTAGGGTAATTTTTTGCGTACCACTCTGTTTGTTATTCAGCGTTTATAGATCATTAATGCTCCTATTACGTATAAAATGTTGACACGAAAGTTCAGGGGAAAAGAAAAAAAACGAGGAAGCAGAAAATTAATAACAGGAGTATCGATCCTGTGCTGTCCAGCCAGAAGTGTTTGAAGAGTCCGGGTCTCACTCAGAATAACTAATCGAAGCCTGTGCTCTCAATTTCCACGAGGTTGATGTCATTTTTTTCTCATGGTCTCATTCATAATGGAAACAGACTGATGATTGATTAATTGAGTTTGGGGACGACCAAAAAGGAGTGGAGTATTTTTTTGTAATGATTCCTTCTTCAGATTCTCTCGCTTCATATTTTTAGAAACATCCATGATTTTTTTCAAATTAAATTATGGAATGAGGAGAAAAAAATTGAAACAAATATTAATCAAAGACACATATATCTTTATATTTTATAAAACTTCCCTATTATACGGCATATAAAACAATACTCTGTATTCAATTTATATTCACACCATAGCGCTATTAACTCTCTAATGCCATTCTTGTTAAAAATTCTTATTACACATTTATTTCAATTTACAATAGGTATTCGGCGGGCTCAACGTTTAAATATTATTGACGAACAGTTTTGCAGGATTATCTGTTCGTTACCTTTCATTTTGTCATATTTTTTCATTAAATAATTCTCTCAACTCTTCTCCGCTTTCTTTCTCTTATGAATTTTATAGGAGGATGATAAAACGTACAGAGACATTATCCGATTTTGGAAGATAGGTCGCAGTTTGAGGAAGATAGAACATTTTTGTAAAGTCAAAGAAAGGGTCATTACAAAAGCTCCATTGGGAACCAGGTGAGTCGACACTTTTTTATCCTAGCACTATTAACTTATTCATTTTTTCCAGACCAAGTCATTGTATTAGGAATTTCAAATGATTTTTCAATTCTTTCTCCCATAATCACTCAGATCAAAATCATTTTGAGAAAACAAGATAGTACTGTTCGATAAAACGGTAAATATTATTTCATACATCTTCTTCTTCCGATCCCTTGAATATTTCTTCATGATGAAATTTTCGGATGCTCATTACGATTAATCATTTCATCCCTCACATATATATTCTTCAATTTGGTTTAACAACTTTCATTCCACGATTGCGAACAAATTCTAATTCACTCGTATCCTTATTCATAACATCTTCGAGTACGCGAGTCGATTCAGGAATATTGGGGAGATGTTCAGAAGGTCTTGGGAATTGGCTTTTCACTTCAGGCAAAGATCGCGAATTTTTCGGATTTTGCCCACCCTTAATGTGATAATTATTATTGCGCCTGAGTGGATCATTATTAATACCACCAATGTGATTGTGTATTACACCGTGATTCAAAAATATCGATTCACTTTTTCCGAGAAACTGCCCATTAGCAGGATCCGTACTGTCAATATCGTCTTTCTCAATAGGTGTGTGGAGGAATGAATCATCAAATATTTCAGTACTCTCACGTTGCTCTGGGGGCAGACGATTTATTCGAGATTTAACGATTGAGAGATGTTTCTTAATATAATCCTGATCCGGTGCTAAAGCTGCTGCTTTCTCGAGGCATTGAGCTGCTAAATGCAATTGACCACGCTCCACCATGACTACGCAGAGATTGTGAAGACCCTGGATATTGGCGGGGTCTAGTTGAAGAATTTTCCTGTAACACTGAATCGGTGGAAGCAAAATATTTTAATGGCAACAATTTATTATAGAACTCGTTAATAAAAGACCACAAGATATTTTTTTATAGGCCATGACATTTTTAACATGATGTTCCACGTAATTATGAATGTCTTGTAATGAATAACCTTTTCACTATAATTTAATCGCTACTTTAAAAATAATTTTGTATAATAATTAACTAATGAAAATTTATGAATTGATTAAGTGCATTCTTACGTTCTCAGCTGCATCGAAATCCTTAATATTATTAATATAAATATCGCCTAGGAGTATCAGTCCTTTAATGTGATCTGGATGGAACCTAACGAGTTGATTCAAGAAAGGAGCCGCTTCTAACGGCCTCTGCTCATCAGCGAGTAGAAGTGCCAGATTAAATAGTGCAGATCTGAAATCTTCTTTCAAAGCGACAGCATTTCTGAACCACCTTTCAGCACTTGCTGTATCATGATCATCCATTGCCAACATTCCCAAATTAAAATGCAGACGTTCGTTATTAGAGTCCTGTATTTCATGAAAAGTTAAAATATTGAAAATAATGTGTGTAGTGAATTTAAACAGCAGTGAATAACGCCTTTTGAATGTTTCATTCACCTTTCTGAGTAACTTGAGCAGTCTCTCCCTCGCTACTTTGCGAAGCTCTTCGCGTCCCAATTCTTGTAAGAGTATAGCGGAATTTAATAAGGCCTGCTCATGCTCAGGATCAAACTCGAGTGCTTTGTCAAGGTATGCAAGTGCCTGTGATGCTTTTCCTTGCTCCAAGTAAACGACACCCAACTGCAGTACCAAAATACCATAAAAATGCATATGAACTTTTATAAAAATTGCCATTCAGTTTATTTTGCATGAATACTGAGAGAAAATTCTCCACTCACGTTATAATAAATATCGGGATTATTGCTGTCATAGAATAGGGCACGTTCATAAACTTCCTGCGCCTCTTTCGTTCGATTCATCTTAATAAGAACATCCCCCCGATTGATGTAAGCCTGTGTGTAATCAGCTCGCATACTAATGGCCTGCCTGTACAACAGATCAGCCTCCTCGAGCCTCGATCCATTTTTAGCAATTAAATTTGCGAGATTGACGAAAACATTCAAGTGACTCGGGGCAATTCTCGCCTGATAAGATTCACCAGGCTTTGCCTTAGGCAGTAATGACTTGGCCTGTGAACAAAAGGGGATTCATGCAAACGAGGAAATGAGATTTTGATGGAGAATTAATTAATTCTCGTTTGATGAATAAACATACCCTGAGATAGGCATCTTCCGCTTCCTTAAACATCTTGAGATGATTGTAAGTTCTTCCGACATTAATGTGAGCCCCAATATCGTCACCCTGTACAAGCACAGCCTCGTTGAAGTAATCCAAGGCCTCTTTGTAACGTCCTTGACCCTCCAACGCGTGTCCAACATTATTGAACAGCTTAGCATTGTTGACGTTAACTTTTAGGCCCGACATGAATATTGCGTATTCGTCAATCCAGTCGTAATTGCGCACGAATGTTTTTACCGAGTGAGAGACGAGGAGTAGTACTAGCAGAATTGTTGATATTTTGGGGCATCTTTTCTCTGCTAAAATACTCCAGCCATGTCCAACGAGCATGCAGAATCCCATCGACGGTGCGTAAAGGACTCTCTCAGCAATGACGAAACCCACGGGGAAAAACAAATTCGATGCCGGTAGGAATGGCAATATCAAAAGTGCCAAGCTCATTATTATTATCACTGATACTTGACGATTACGTGTGAATACAGCGGTTGAAAGTAATCCAAGTATCAAAGTGTGGACGGCCAGCGTCCATAAATTACGTGGATCAAAGATACTCTCAATTAGGGGTATTGTACCCATTGTCCAATCACAGCACAAATCACTTGGTAGAAAAAGAAGACGTAAATTGACAGCTGCTAAGTAGTTGTACGTGAGTTGTCTCGTTGGTGTCGACGCCACTGACGCCGGATTGTCAAATCTATAATTGACCAATTAGTGAAAAAAATACACAGTAATCTATTAACGAGCATTTACTAAACTATTCACCTTGTAAATACAGGCAATCTGGAGCCCATAATATGTAATCTGAGGATCAGTAAACTAAATGTGACAAGTGTGAGAGCAGCGAGCCGTTTAGTGCCCTCCACCGACCACGTTGGATTTATTTTATTACCCCCAAAGGCAGACTTAATTGCCAGTAAAATATCCAGTGCCTTGACTTTCTGTACAACGAATATTTCGTACAAAACGCACACAGCAGTCGCCGTTATACCCTGTTCTTTGCACAACATCGCGATAAATACAGAGACCATTGACATTACCATTGGCCGCCACGCTGCAAAGGATAATACCATTTAATTGATGATAAATCAATTAAAGTCTTCATCGCTATTTACCTGTCGTTCTCTTGCTCTTGCAGGCTTTCGTGTACATTATCAAAGCACCTAAATAAAATAAAGAGGATAGAGTCTCTGCTCGGCCGACAACACCTGTCACCTATAATTTGAAATAATCCTTTCAATCTGGCCCGCAAAAAATTGCTCGTGAAATTGGTTTTTCAACATTTATTATTACAAGCGTAGTTCCATCGATCTGTTTCTTTCGTGTAGCGCTGTTTATAATAGTTAATATATTTACTTACAACCTCTGTGTGAATGGGATGTACCGCAAACAGCAAAGCCGCTACAAAACTCGCCAAATCTGATAGAAACATCAGACATGTCCTGCACAAAATAGATTATGAATAATCTTCTCAAAGACTTCATCCTCGACTCATGTAAATTTATTTCAATTTACCTGAAGTACAGGATGCAAACGCCAACGTGCAGAATCACATTTAGAAAGTGGTAGCCCATCGGATCTAACTGATGAATCATGTAATTCCATCGAAATGTGAGAACACAGAATGGTCTATACGATTTGTGGGATTGTTCCTGAAAGCCAAAATCAAATGACGCATCTTAAATATCTCTAAAAACACAATAGACTGTCCCGTTCCGCTTTGTTTTCGTCCTAAAAAACCACAAAGGAAATAGGACGGATGACCCCTGAAGAACAAAAGAGCCATTGGAAAATGGAGTTTAGAACACGAAGAATAAAAAATTCTAGGATGAGAAGAAAAGAATGAGTGATTGCATTTTCTTGAATGATGTTTTTTCCATTTTTCTTCCTAAATGCAAAGTGCAAGGAACTTTCGCAGATATGAAAATTTCACTCTTTTCATTTAGTACGCAAACCTAAAGCGGCACGAGTTCCATACTAGAAGAAATTCAAGAAAAGTTATCAACTCTTGTTTACGAGGAAATGAGATAATCCAATTTTTAACAGAAATGGTTCAACTTCATTTCAAAATTCCGATAGCCCTCAATCACCGAATTTATTACCCTTTCGGTTTGAATACAAAAAAAAAACAAATTGAAGAGAAAAAAACTTTTCCATTTCAGCTGAAATCAGAATTGCCATTTTCGTTGGTGACATACTCCCAATCCAATCTCCCCAAAAATACAATAGATCCCCTTCCACCATAAAAAAAATCCAAAGAAAAATAAAGAGAAGAATCCCCGCAGAACAAAAGCTCCCTCGTAGATGGGATTCATGAAATAAAATAAAAATGAGTTGAGTCAGGAGGAAAAAGGGGTACCTATGGAATTAAATGGAATGGAATGAATCGGATTGGCCACCGAATGAAATAGTCCGGAGTTCACCGTTCGCCGACTAGGGGCTTGTAAAGGTTCTTCCTATGTATGTGTGTGTACTGAGAGGGAGTAAAGAGAGACAGAGAATGGATCAATACAGAAACTAAAAGGGGGTTCCAACGTGGGAGGAGGGACAAGTATACCCAGAACTTTCCCGTTGTTATTACAATTGCATAAATAATCCATCTTCAAGTACTGTTATCAGTCTATGAAAAAATTACAAGATTAATCATAGCATCTTGTTCCCCGAGTACTCAATTATCTCGATAGCAAGTACCTCTGTAAACAAATGCCAAAAGAAACATTTTGCAGGGAACGAAAAAGACTATATACATTAATTTTCTTGTTTGTTCCATTTGACTTAAATATGTCAGTCCTCAAAATTGAAAATATGAATGAAAATGAGTGATGTATGCTTTAATTATAATTATTGTTTTTCAATAATTATTTCAGATACAGCGGAGTGAACAAATAGATTGCTAAAAAATTGCCCTAGATGTTAAAAGAATGGCATGACAAATAAAAATGGTAAAAATGAGAAAAAAACGAATAGCGTTGATTAATGACTGCTGATGAATTGATTGCTGGGTGATTATTTTACCTTGTACATGGGTGTACCCCAAAAATCATTATAGAATACATTTTTCAATGGTGTGTGTGGCCTCAAATCACGATTATCCTTGATCGCTGATATATCATCAAATACGAAACCACAACCTAGGCTATTGGTGTAAACGGCGAACGCGGCTATTGCCACGAATCCGGCTAATACTCCCCGGGCAGGCAGTCCCATCACGAATACATTTGCATGACGTTTTTATTCACTTCTCTCACCTTATTTCCTTTTATTATTTTCTCAACCCTTCTTCAATGAAACTTTCGGTTATTCCATCATTTTATCCAATCGTTAAAACAGACTATTGTTATTGTACATTCACCATTTTCAGGATTATCTATCACAATTTTCGGTTTTTCCGGGAAATTCTTGATTTTTTGACGCGTATGTTTTGCACTGCCACGTGGAAGGGGGGCATGATGTATCGGTGAATGTATTTTTTAATAGTTTTTAGTTTTTTTTACCCTGGGTTTTATCGGGAGACTGACTTTAATTATTGTGTAGGTCTGTTTTGTGAGAGACGCGTGAAACACTACTACAGTTGTGGAGTATCAACTGTCAGACAAAACGGAGCTCTGGGATTCTTGCTAAGACGCATGCGCAGCCTCCAATATTAAAATCACTCGTGGAATTTCATTTCCACTGCAAATCATTCCAAATTCTATCGAACTCCAATCGTCCTGTCCAAATCAAATTGGTGTCAGGAAATTTATCGGATTTTGCATACAGTGTATACATCTTTTTTTGAACTGCAATTATTTATTTATATAACCTTTCAGAGACAAGAGTGTACAAATAATAAATTATTCTTGACGTGCGTGAATAAATAGTTTTTTGTCAATTTTATATTGAAGTTAATTATCATATAGTTTGTTACTCTATTTTGAGATTTTAAATGCAAGGACATTTCGCTTTTGCCGTCTGACAGAAATAAATGAGGAATTCATGTCTTCTTACATACCAAAGAGGACTGACTAAAGTAGAGGCTCAGTTCTGGGGGTTTAAGTGACCCCAGCGGCATCGTAGTACTGCACCCCAAGAGAGGGAGGGCGCAACACGCAATGCTGGGGTGTTTTTTTTTATTAACCAAGTTTTTATTGCAATGCTGGGGTGTCCATCAAGTCGACGGGGTGAATTTTATTTTCTGCTGTACGAATGATTTTTTTTTTTCATTTGTTTAACTGAAATTTAGCCGACTGTAGCACGTACGGAAGGAGGAAACCACATCTTGTGGAATTTCAATGGGAAAAATTATTCAATGTATTGAATATATACCACTAATGAATTTATAATTTATAATAAGCGCGTTGTCCTAGCGGTAAGGTGCTCGACTGGCACGCCGGCGGCCCGGGTTCAATCCCGGCATCATTCATTTTTTTTTTTTAAATAATTTCAATTTTATCTTTTTTTAATTGGTTAATCAATCTAAATATCGTTTAAACACTGAATTTTTGAAAAGCGGAAAGA